CATCTTTGGAACACAGTCAACACATATCAGTACAAAGTAGTCACAAACCTCTAGAAGTCTTAATTACAGAATTGTTAGTTCACAAAAGCATCTCAATTCACAACAGATTTTCATTTCAGGATTCACTCCCTTCCCTATTTTAGAGTTCAATTTTTTTTCCTCTCAGCTTTATTCCTAGGCCCAATAAAACCCAGTTTTACTCAAATCACTTCATTTCCACTATAAAAAGATCTCTGTAACAAAAATTATCCTATGAAATTGTCTCCCAAATGTTCACACCAAACCACATCTAAAAAAAGCCACTGGTTGGCCTGGCCCCATAGCCTAGTGGTTAAGAAGCCACATCTGACATTGCCAACTGTAGTTTGAATCCCAGGCCGAGTAGCTTGAAACCATGCTGGGCACCTGTGCATGTGTGTTTAAAATCCCAACAAAATGGAGCAATAGAAAGAAGGGACTGTAGTGTGACTATGCCCATTTGGGGGTTTGAAGGGTTTTTTTCTCCCTCTCTGTCACTTTCTCCCTCTCTCCTTCTCTGGAAAATGCACATGCCCTCTGGTAATTAAAAAATAAATAAATAAAAGATTTACGGAATGGAAAAGAACAGAAAAAATATTTTAAAAGATAGGTGCATGGAGCCAGCCTGTGGCATGGTAGTAGTTATGGTGGCTGGACCCCAAATGGCCAATAGTGTGGTTCAAGTCCCAGGTCCAGTAGCTTAAAAAACATGCTAGGCATATGTACATGCATGCCCAAAATCCCAAGGAAGAGGTAGAAAAGGGATTATAGCGGGAACAGCAGTTAGCATAATGGCTATGTCGTTGAACTCCCATGTAGTGGACCACAGTTCGAGTCCCAGACGCGGTGTCTTAAACACATGCTGAGCGCGTGTGCGTGCGTGCCCAAGATCCCGAGAGGAGAATGGAGGAGAAGGGTTTATGGCGTGGCCATCCCCCCTGAGGGGTGACTTCTTGCTTTCTGTCTCTCTGTCTCTCTGGCGAGCGCATGCGCCTTAAAGCAAAAACCTCTTTAATAAAAAAAAAAAAGGGATTATGGTTTGATCATTTTCCATGGGGGAAAGAACAAATAAATATATACATACATATGGGTGTATATACATAAGCATAAATATGTGAAAGACAGATGTATGTTGTTTGGATGGAGACAAAAGAGAAAATGAGAGAAACAGCACAAAATAAGATAAAAGTAGCTTTGAAAGGAAGAAGCAAATGGAACATATATTAATTAAATGCCAGTTAAGTACTCAACACATACGGATTTTTTTTAAGGTTGTAAAGAACTTGCTCAGCGATTAGAAATCATTTGTTCCAGACTACATAAGCAGATGACACAGTCAGAATTTAAACTCAATTCTGTTTTTTCAGAAAGATTTGTTTGCTATAGTGTGCATGTGCTCACTGAAGAGGGCACATATACTTGCCAGAGAAACATAAAGTGAGAAATCACCCACGGGAGGTGGGGGGATGTCTACACCACAGTCTCTTCTCCATTCTCCTCTCGGGATTTCTGGCATGCACACACATGTGCCTGGCGTGAGTTTCAATCCCAGGTCCAGGATTCGAACCATGGTCTGCCATATGGTAGTTCAGTGACAAACATTATCTCATTTGCTGGTTCCTTGAATTTTATTCTGATTTTAAAGTCTACTGCTCTTTCTATTACAACATTCTGAGGGGAGAAAATTTCAGGACCAAAACTATAACAAAAAAGGCAAAAATGAAATTTATTTTACTGAGTTTCAAAGAGAGGGGAAAATAAACACATTCCTGTGTTCTAAAATGCCCAATTTTCTACTAACTTCTGAAGACTAAAATAACTCACCACTGGCTTGGCCACACTTCAAAATCTGTACCTAGCACTGTGGAGCTCTGTAAGCTGACAAGACTCAGAAAATGTGGCATTTACAAAGCAATTCTATTTTGTCTCCCCTTTACAACAAGAATAACTGAGACAGAGTTTCCCATCATGGTGCTCACAGTATAGGAAAGTGAGAAATGAAAGCAAAGAACAGGTACAATGCATTTCTGCTACTTGCTTTATCTTCCTAATATAAGCATCTGAAAGTACTTTTAAAAGGCCACTTTTTGAGTTATGTAAGTAACTCCTCAGATCTCAGTAACTGTTTCCAAACTTATTTCCATTCTCCTCTCTAGTCTTAACAGAACTAGATGTTCTCAAGCTGCATCTGCTTTCTTAAAAAAGCTTGCTCAAGCCACTCACACCTCCACATTATATTGATAACAGTACTAATATAACCCCTACAATTCTTCTAGGCTTGTTTCATTTTTTTCTCCCCAAAGAGAAAGCATGCACATGAGCCCAGAGTTATTTTTTCACGTTTCAGGACTGGGACTAGAATTGCACTCAGCCATGTGGGATACAGTTCCCTTAAGAAGTAAGCTATGGGGCAGGTCCTTTCCAGGCCCATTTCAAAGCTACTCTCTCTTCTAGGGACCATTCACCCAGAAGTCACTATTTGTTTAAACATTCGATAGATAATAGCTGAATAGCTATTCAGCACTGCTGTATACTACACCATGATGAGGAAAAACAGGTCCTGGTCACACTTACTTTCTAGTGGGAAGTCAGATATCAAAAAAAAAAAAGAAGAAAAAAAGAAAAAAGAAAAAGAAAGAAAAGGGGAAAAAAAATGAACTGGCCTCATAGCCTAGTGGTTAAGGGAGCCTGCTCTCACATAACTTTTGTAGTTCGATCCTGGCCCCAGTGGCATGAAAAACACACCAGGTGCATGTCTGTGTATGCCCCAAATCTGGACAAGATAGAGAAAAGAAGCAGAGATTGTGGTGTAAACCACAAAAGGATGGCTTTCTCCCACCTTGTCTCTCCATCTCTCTTCGGCAAGAGCATGCACCCCTGGCAATTAACAAATAATAATAATACACTACATGCAAGAATCATAAATGAGACAAAAAAAAAAGCTAAGCAGAAGTGCAATGAGAAGCATGTGACCAGGGAGCTTAGACCTGGCTTTAGGTGTCAGATACTAAGAGCCCCTCAGGACATGATTAAACAAGATGTTCAGGACAAGTGAATGGACATTAACTGCTTCAGCTGCAGAAAAACCTGGTACAAGAAGAGGAACTGAAAGGTCTAAGTGTGACAGCTCAGCGATCAGGGAAACCGGGAGGAATAAGGCTGGAGAGGTAGAGATCACTCTTCTCAGGGCCTTCAACAAGAGATAGTTGTTTTTTTTTAATTTGAGACTCATGAGGAATCATTTCATTGTAGCAACTGGCAACTGAACAGAACAGACAGGGTGGAGAGAAAAGCAGAGTGGGTGTGGGCAGACCCTGGGGAGATGAACATTCAGGATGCAGTAGTCAGAGGTCAGGAAGTTGGCTTTCACCTGGAAGGGGGTTTTGTAGGCAGAAAAGTTGAGAGTGTCAAGCAGCACCCGCTTTGGGAAATAAAATCGGGGTAACTCCTAACAGATTGGAAATGGGATATGAAGGAGAAGACAGTTCACCACCACCCAGATTTCCCACTTCGGAGATGAAGGGTGGTATCTACCAAAAAAAGGAGCAACAAAGAAGAGTTCAGCTTGGGAGGTTGGGAAGTCAAAAGTTTAATTAGCAGAGGATGAGAGACCTTTGTGAAAGCCAAAGATGAAGTGGGCAGAAGAGTATAAGGCCCCTGAGCACAGAGGAGAGGAATGGCCTGCAGCTATAAATATGTCAGTTATTTGAGGAAGCAGCAACTGAGGTCCTGAGTCAGACTGACATTTTCTTAGGAGAGAATCTTTCGTTCCCGGTAGGAGTCTCGGCCTGAAAGGACCCCACAAACGTTGAACCTCACTCTGCGACATTTCTTTACATTTTGGTCATTTGTGTGCATGCCGCATCTTCTCACCCAGTTAGCTTATTCACGTCCCTTCTCCCAAAGCCCTAACACCTGAAAGGTGTCTAACTGCATCTGTCCGGGTGCGGACAGCAGGGGCCTGGGGCACTGCGGTCACCTCCACGCAGTTAGGCGACCCTCGGGCTGTGCTAGTTCTGAGCCGCTTCGGAGTCGGTCAGGGGAAAAAGGGACAGTTATTCTGCTTAAGCTACCGCACGGGCTGTGTAGGATCACGTGGACGAGGCCGTTCCACAAGGTCGCGACTGTTCGTGGCGTCCGTGGGGCTCCGGTGACAACACCGCAGGACACAGGGTGTCTCCAGCTGCGGCCTCCGCCCCGCCGCCCGCGCCCACCCACGCCGGCCGCAGGCAGAGAACCGCATCCCCCGCCGCCCAGCCCCGCAGCGCGCAGCGAGCCCGCGAGAGGATCCGGGGAGGCGCGGAACATCCCGGGTCTCACCTCGAGAACGAGGGGGTCCTGCTAGCTCGGTGGCCGGCCTCAACAGCGGAGAAGCGCTTCCGGAGGGAGAGAGGCGGCACCGGGAGGAAGTCCCGCCTTCCGAAGGCCCGCTAGCGAGGGGGCGTGGCTGTCCTAGGGCACCGCCCTAACGCCTAAGCCCCGCCCCCACCTGGGGCGCTGGTAGGTTTCTGCTCAGACCCTGAGGCCTGGCCCAACCTAGAGCCCCAAATCTAGCCTGTGTTTTCTCATCTCTGGTACTTGTAACGTCTATCTCCTGCTAACCCTTCTCTAAATTCTTAAAAAATTTAATTCTGCCTTTGTCGAACTCACCCTTCTTTCTATCCCTTCTTTTCATTGAACTCGAATCCATCTGTAAGTTTTCCCATTTCCCTTCCCCTTTTCTCTAACTCCGCACTGCTATTTTGACAAAACTCGAATTAGAGCTCTGACTCATAAAAGTTGTGCAGCTTTTATTGGCTAAACTTAGACTACACCTGTACTGCATTTTTTCTTTTTTTGATATTTGATCACCGGAGCCAACTGCCCCCATTCTCAATAACCTCTTTAGATACCGTTTACTAAGGACTTGCCATGCTTCAGGCCGCTGTAGTTTTATATGCATTATTTTACTTACATGTCACAGCAGTTCCATGAGGAAAATAAGGTAGTTTCGTTATACAGATGAGGAAACAGGCTCAGAGAAGTTAAGTGATTTGTCTTCAGGTCACGCAGCAAGAGCAGAGAGGAACACATTCACTTCAAAGCCCACGTTCAGTGAATGTATGTCACAACATGGTTGTATCATGAGGTACCTGGACTAATCTATGGTCCTTAAAAAATTTCCTCATCTTGTAAAGTGAGGCATGCGGTGTATCTATCACAAACAACGCAAAAATCGTTGCATAAGATATAAGACATTCAGCCACAACAGGCCCGGAAAACTGGATTATTTGACTTCTTACTTCTGAAGTGATCATTTCCCTTAGTGTAATCCAAAGACGAGATGTTGCTACCAACACGTTACAGATGAAACACATCTCGAAGGTGAATGATGTGGACTTTTGACTGTGTCCTCAAAATCTTTAGAGCCAGAAATTTTGTCTTCATTCTTCAGGAGAATGATGCCTTAGGTATCTGATTTGGACACTCTCTTTGTCTATCAAATGATACTTTTGTTTCCTTGATAAAAATAAGGTCTTCAGGAATGAATTTTGGCTCTTTATTGTAATCATCTTAAAATAAAAATCTTGCCTGCTAAACAATATTAAGTGTTGATTCATAAACAAATTTTCCAAGCATTTGCAGAAATGTTAGCAGAGTCGTCTTTAAACCTTTTGTAAATGAACATGGTCCCACTGATTTAGCAAAGCTGCTAAAATCACTGTAAGTGGTTTGAAGGAAAACAGACCAAAAAAAAAAAAAATCAAGTATCTTATTCATTAAAATTAAAACAATTTCAAGCTTCCTAGGTCAAATGAGCCAGAAGTCCAATTTTTCTCTAGTAGTCTAGATACTTTGCCATTGTTCCTAATATTTTTTTTTCCATCCCAGAAAGGCTGTTCTGCTTTCAAATGGCTGAGAGTGAGATGAAGAGTCTGCCAGTGCAAGGGAAGTCTAATGTTCAGATTTAGCTGTGACAGTGTTATAGACTGGTCCAACACAATCCAGAAGGTCTTCGTCCAATGCTGAGAAAGTTGTTCAGATGGATTGACCTTTATAGATATTTGATTAATTACCCTAATAAACGCTTACTGACCACCTATTCAATCCAATGCCTTGTGCCAACACTGTAGGGAATTTAAAGAATACTGTGTGGCTCCTGCCCTCAGAAAGCTTATAGTTTGGGTGTTGCCTAATTAGAAGACAATAGCCGGTTGCAGTTATTCTCATCAACCTCAAGACTCTTCACTTTGCCCCATCACCCTGCCCATGGTGCTGAGACCAGAATCACAGACTTGCAGAATCAAGCAAGATTCTATCCCTCTGTTTTTAATCTTTTTATTTTACAGATTTGAAAACTAAAGTGCAGAGAGGTTTTTTGTCTGAGGACAGAAGGTTAACTGGAAAGAGGAACCAGCAGTTGGCATCGTGGCTGTGTTGCTGGACTCCCACGTAGTTGACCATGGTTCAAGTCCTGGACCCAGTGACTTAAACTCATGCCAGGCACGTGTGCATGCATTCCCAAGACCCAGAGAGGAGAACGGAGGAAAATGGATTGTGGCGTGGCCATTCTCCCCCGGGAGCTGATTTACCGCTTTCTGTCTCTCTGTCTCTCTCTGTCTTTCTGGCAAGCACATGAGCCATATACCAAAAAACCTCTTAAAAAAAAAAAAAAAAGTCCTGTCTAAAAAAAAAAAAAAAAAAAAAAAAAGTCCTGTCTCCCAATTAGTAAGCATGTTCAATAAAATGTATGTAAATCATATTGGTGAAAGTTTAATAATATTTTAACCTCCGAGGTGACAATTATCCTTTTATAAATCCAATAATCATTCACCATCATACCAAAGCAGGTCTTTTATAAAGCTTAGTATTCAGACAGGATTTGGTGACATGAGAAAAAAGGAAATATAGCTCTCAGTTGGAAAAGTAAACCAAAATTCCATCATATCATGAGCGATGTAGTTATTTTCGAAATAACTAGAACAATAAGAAGCTTTGCGCAATGGCAGTATCATAGCCAATGAGGTTTATCCAAGGCGCAATTATTGCTAATTGAAACTAAAACAATAAGCATATATTTTGTTAAAGTATATGCCTTTTGTCCTTAGCTCAAAATCTGGTATTCTCCTGACTTCTTTTCATCTACTCCTTTTCTTTTTTTTAAAAAAAAATTATCTTATTCTTCTTATTATTATTTAATATATAAGAGGGAGACAAACACCCTCAACCAAAATCTTACCAGGCTATGAATGAGCCAAGATCATGGGTTTGCCTGGTATGTTCAGGTTGACCTAGGATCTGGACCCTTCCCATATGGCTCCGGTATCACACAGTGGTACATCACTGCTGGTACCACTGTAACTGACCTCACTTGTTCTTTTTTCTCCCTGAGGAAAGTCATAGAAAATAGACTTTCTCTTTCCCAAGGCAGTCAAAGAAACTAAAAATATACTCTAGTCTTCCATCTCCTAATCTTTTGAGGCTGGCTATAAAGGAATTCTCTAACCTACCTACCTTGTCTGATAAGTAATCGCAGGAGCCCAGGTCAGAGGGGTCCTGCCACATACCCAGGAAGAAGGAATATTGCATAAAGAGGCCAGGAAGAATCTGGACAGGCCTTGTTGGGGTTCTCCACTCAGTCTATTAGTATTAGGTAAGGCTCTTTATGCTATAATCACATTTCTATAGTTATCCATGCTTCAATCATGCCTATGCAACCAAATCATCATAACAAAAACGACAGTTTGGAGAGCTTCTAGGAATTAATTCCTGGACAGGTCGAGGCCTGCCAGAAGGTGAACAAGAACTCATCCACCTGCTGGGAGGTGGCGGCCCAACTCCACGGGGACAGAAGCTCCTGCACTCAGGACCCTTCCAAACTTTGCTCTAAGACCTCTTTATCTGGCTGTTTATTTAAAATATCCTTTATAATAATAATCTTGTTGGGACCAGTAGTTAGCATAAAATGGCTATGTCGCTGGACTCCCATGTAGTCGACCACGGAGTCCCGAACCTGGTGGCTTAAACTCACACTGGGTGCGTGTGCGCACATGCCCAAGATCCCAAGAGGAGAATGGAGGAGAAGGGATTGTGGTGTGGTCATCCTCCCTGGGAGGTGATTTCTTGCTTTCTGTCTCTTTGTCTTTCTGGAGGGCACAGGCGCCTTACAACCAAAAAACCTCGCCAAAATAATAATAATAATAATGCAGGCGCCTTTAAGCCAAAAACCTCGCCAAAATAATAATAATAATAATAATAATAATAATAATAATCTTGTTTACATAAGTGTTCCTCTGAGTTCTGGGAGCTGCTCTGGCTAATTAAAGAAATTGAAGACGTGACTGAGGGGGATCCCAACTTGTAGTGGGCCCAGACTTGCAACTGGTATCTGAGAAGGGGTTAGTCTTACAGCACTGAGCCCTCAACCTGCGGGATAAGATGCTCTCTCCAGGTAGAGAGGGTCAGAAATGAATTGGATTAGAGGACACCCAGCTGATGTCTGCTGCAGAACTCATTGTGTGTTTGCTGGTGGGGAGAAATCCCCTCATGTTTGGGATCACAGAAGTGATTTGTATTGCTGATTGAGTGAGAGTATATGAGAAATAGAGTCTAAGTTTGGTTTATTCCTTGTATTCAGAGAGCAGCTAAAGCTTACAGGGCACTTACTGTCTGCCAGGCTGCACTTTTCTAAGCACCATATATGTATGATCTCATTTAATTTCAGGACAATTTGTAGAGCTGACAGCATTATCTCCATTTTTCAGGTGAGGAAACTGGGCTGTAAGGACATTAAATAATTTGCCAACAACTATCATACTACAAAATAGGAACAGAAGAATTATTCAGAGTAATATTTCCTATTGTTGATGCCCACACTTTGGAGAAGAGTGCTAAACTGGATGCAGATACTAAAAACTTCCTTTGAAAATTCAAAAGTGGTATTTACCAAAAAAGCACATAATTCATTTGGTCCCTAGTCTTTGCTTCTGCAGTTTATGTGAGTAAGCACATAGAAAATATTGTGTTAGACATTAGGGGAGTATCAAAATGAATAAACATAATTCTCATGCTCAAGGATTTATAGTAAAATAAGGATAAAACATAAACATAAATATCTGTAAAACAAACCAGGTTGGCTGGCATGAGCAAAGCATATTCATGAGACACCACACCGTTCTGTTTGATGTGAGCAAAAGCTGTATGTAAAATAGTGGGAGAGAATACTGGAAAGTTAGATTAAAGTCAGATAGTAGAATCATAAACATCTAAGAAACACAGACTTTATTTGAAGGGAAAAATATGCTTTATGGCAGAGAAATTATGTGATCAAATTAGATTACAGAAAGATTAATGTGGTAGTGAATGGAGGATAGAGAAGCCGAAATCAGTTTAGAAAGGGTTAGGGAAGAAGAATACAGGGAAGAACAAGGGTAATGACATTGAGAATGGAGAGGAGACAAAAAATGATATGGAGAATTTGCTGTAGGAAATAGATTGACTACAAAAAATGAAGAGGGGAAGAAAGAAGAGGGAGAAGAGATTAATCTGTTTCAAGATAAATGATCATGCCTTTAGAGGGAGGTGTGGAAGACACAAGGAAGTGTAGCTATCAGAGCAGAGATGTTACATTTAGTCTAAGACATGTTGATTCAGATAAGCCTGTAAGACATCAAACAGGAACTTACACATCTATTCACTGGACAGCCCTTCCTTAAATATTTAGGATAGCACAATCACCACATTAATAATTGCTAGGACTTTTTTGACTTTTCTCATTTAAGACACCATAATGAAGTATTATATCCAAATTCATTCTTTAAGAACATTCTCAAATCAACACAGTTGAAAAAGTTATCTCGTTCCATTGAACTCCTGTATATTTTATTGTTTGGCCCACTCATTTGGGTGCTTTGCCTGGCCCTATTCCCACCCCACAATGTAACCAGATTATAAGTAGCTTGAGAGCATCATTTTAGATATTCTTTGATGCTCTGACAATACCTCAGCGAAAGTAGGAATTCAGTACTTTTTAGACTAGGGAAAAATTTTTTCTTTTATCTTTTAGGGTAAGGACACATCTTTTCTTAACCTTGTAGACTAGCAGGATCAGTAACATTTCACATCCAGAACACATGGCTACTATGAAAGGTGCCACAGAAGCTAAGTCTGCCTTGGACTGTGAAAAAGAGAGCTGAATAATGGCAAGGGCCAAGAAACTATTTAGTACCCCACTCTCAATAGCCACAGTCTTAAATATTTAGGATAGCACAATCACCACATTAATAATTGCTAGGACTTTTTTGACTTTTCTCATTTAAGACACCATAATGAAGTATTATATCCAAATTCATTCTTTAAGAACATTCTCAAATCAACACAGTTGAAAAAGTTATCTCGTTCCATTGAACTCCTGTATATTTTATTGTTTGGCCCACTCATTTGGGTGCTTTGCCTGGCCCTATTCCCACCCCACAATGTAACCAGATTATAAGTAGCTTGAGAGCATCATTTTAGATATTCTTTGATGCTCTGACAATACCTCAGCGAAAGTAGGAATTCAGTACTTTTTAGACTAGGGAAAAATTTTTTCTTTTATCTTTTAGGGTAAGGACACATCTTTTCTTAACCTTGTAGACTAGCAGGATCAGTAACATTTCACATCCAGAACACATGGCTACTATGAAAGGTGCCACAGAAGCTAAGTCTGCCTTGGACTGTGAAAAAGAGAGCTGAATAATGGCAAGGGCCAAGAAACTATTTAGTACCCCACTCTCAATAGCCACAGTTTTACAGACAGGAAGAGGCAGCATACAAACTTTAGCAAAGGAATACCCAAACAACAAGCCCAATACAGGAACTAAGAGACCCAACAGAAGCACCTCTTGGTTAACTGTTTTGAGAAAAGTTAACCCCATTTTGAAGGTCAAATAAATCCCTACAGACATTAAAATAAAACTCAGAGGTCTAATTATTCCCTCTAGAAGGTTTGCTTTTTCAGGTATTCTACGTTTGATGACTATTCCAATTGATATTGGGATAAGTATAAAAAGAAGTGTAGAGATAATTTTAGAAACAGGAATATGAAATGCACCTGATAACCCTAATATCTTACCGTATACATAAGAATTGACAGGCATCATTATTAGGGCCAATAACGTTGATGTGCAAGTCATCAAAATGGCCAAAGTGACATCTCCTTCTAGAAGCAGAGCAAAAAGATAGCCCCCACCCCCACCTGGGCATGTGCAAGTCATTACAAATCCAAAAGCTTGTGCCTCAGGTAATGCCAAAATCTGAGACAAAAGAAATCCACAAAATGGCATGAGAAAAAACTGTGTAACTGCCCCAAGAATTACCGGTAAAGGTCTCTTCCATACAGTTTCAAACACTTGTAATTCAATCTTGCATCCAAATGCACACTTGTTTAACAGTATCATTGGTAAAATAAGCATTAGGATATTTCTACTGATATGTACTGATTCCTGCAAAAGACTGTCTTTTGTTTTCTTGAGCAGTTTGATTTTGACATTCTTTATTTCTTCAATGAGTCTCTCTTGCCTACCTTCAGTTTCCCAGAGTTGAATGGTCAAATTTGTTTCCCCTTCTTTATCCGTCACTATGTTTATGGTAAAGTTTGTAACATCCGATGAGGTCTTGGTCACATTCACCACTTGCAGGATTTCAGGATCTTCTGATTTTACAAAGAGATAGCTGGAGTTAGGCTGTTTATCTCTGTAGCTCGATCTTACAACGAGGGTTTCTTTCGTCTTTGTGACAAGTAGTATTTCAGTCTTTTCTATATTCAAAAAACTGAGAAACGATTTCTTTGCTTCTCCCAGAGTCACAAACAGCAAAAGCAGGACAATAAAAAGTGTTCTAATCATTTCAGAAGCTTAAATAAATCACATATGCAAACTTATTTTTAAAGAACTGGTGAACATTCTTCGTATAGGTGTTCCAGTGATGATCTGTCATGCAGTTAAGTAACAGTTGTCTTAGCTGGATCAAAGTCCAAGAGGAGGGTCATTTGTACTTTTCAAACAAATATGAAACTACTTATGAGTTACAAAACCTGTTTAACTTGTAGTTATAAAAATGTAAAAGCCTTGGCATTTAACAGGTTCAATTCATCACAAAAGAAATTTAATCTCTTTCCTTCTTACTTCCTTATTTCTACTACTTTAAAAAGCAAAACAAAACAAACAGCCTCCTATCTACCTGAATTTAAAACCTCGGTGTTAAAATGTTTTAGTTTTCTTTGTTGCTAAGGAAAATTTATACTAAAAGCAGGCAAGATCAAAAAATCAAAAACATATTGAGAAGGCCTAAAGGTCAGTGAACTATTTTATTCATTCAAGTCAAAACCAAGTAAGCATTTACTAAACATCTGTGTGCTGAAGCACTGAGCTAGGAGCTGGTTACACCATCATGATCAAGGTGGATGCAGCCTCAGCTTTCCTGGAACTTAGTAGAGTGGTCTGTTATCATTACTTATAAAACTGGAGTCCATAAATTAGCCTTAGCAGCATCTTTAAGCTGCTTATCATTTTCCTATACCTTTAAAGAGTGACTACATCTGTCAGGTAGAAACTGAAAATATCCACAGATTAATGGATTGGAAAAGTGTGGCACATATACTCTATGGAATACTGCTCTACCATAAAAACAAAAGACCCTGGCATTTGATAGAAACTGGATGAATATGGAAAATTTACTGCTGAGAAAAGCAAGCCAGGTTATGAAAGAGAGACATTGTATGTCTCCACTTAACACATACCAACTGTCCATACGCTATAGTGAAAACTGAAAGATTAGAGGGCATAGAAGCATTGAAAATGGTTATAAATACTGGAGACAATGTGGCAAGAGAGTGGGAGCAGGATTGTGTAAGGAAAGAAACTGAGGAAAATAGAGGCAAGACATTTATGGGACACAGAAATGGATTAGTATCTGTTTATGATAATGTGTTTTATATCCTTGACTTACTGGACTGGTGTGTAGTGTATTCATGTTGGGTAAATTCAACTTACAAGCTAAGTGATGTATAGTGATTAAATATATAAAATAAATTAAAATTTTTAAAAATTAAATAAAGAAAAGAAACTGGTGTTCTTAAGTAGGAATAAGGTAGGGAGATGATTTTCTCAATGGTTACAACTTGAGAACATAGGAAAAGTGGGTGGCTGGCACCATCACCAAAAGCTTGGTAGAAGGGCTGTTACTGTTGGACACTTGGGCCCTGAGACAATGTGGCAGTGGAAAGATGCTGGTATTATTTGTAGCCTCATATTCCTTCTTTGCAATACCACTCCCTATTCAGTCAGGACAAGGATATTCAAGTGACCCAACTTAGGTCATATGCCAGGGCCTCAGCTTTAAGGGATAAAGAAAAGCAACAAGTGTTTTGGACTTTTACCAAGAGACTCACTTAATTGTGTGTTTTCCAAACAAAAGAACGGGGAAGTTCTGATGCCAAACAGCAAAAACAAAACACAGAAACAAAAACTCACAACACAACTCTACTAGTGAGCCTATAGAACCAGTAGGCTGAATACATGGCCATTTCTGTAGATCATGTAGTCAGGATGCAATCTGTGTCTGATGGAACAATGACGGTCTCTATTAAGTATTTTAGAATACCCTTGCTCCTTGGGGACCAGCAGATGGCATAATGGCTACATTGCTGGACTTCCATGTAGTTGATCTCAGTTCAAGTCCCCAACCCAGTGGCTTAAACTCACACTGGGAGTGTGTGCATGCGTACCTAAGATCCCAAGAGGAGAATGGAGAAGAAGGGATTGCAGTGTGGCCATCCCCCTGGGGGGTGATTTCTCGCTTTCTATCTGTCTCTCTGTCTTAGTCTTTCTGGTGTATGCATGAGCCCCATAGCAAAAATCACTCAAACAACAAAAAATTACTTGCTTCTCAAAAACTGCCAAAGCTATTTTTATTAAACATTTTGACAAGTTTTTCTTTAAATTTTGTTTGTGTACATTAATGTTTCAAGTTCAATAAACTCTAGATTTATCAATTTTATTTCCAAGTACCACATTAGGAAAAAAAACATTATGCCGATGGTGAGAATAGGGAATGAAAACAATCTGTTTCAGTGATACCTCTGCTAAATTTCCAGAGAACTTCCCTCATACAAAATAAGGATTTTTTTTTCCCTTCCCTCTCTGATTCATCTGCAATGTTTTTCCTTTTCAAAGTTATCCCAGCCTCTCATCTGAAAGCCCCAGGGAATACAATCCAACATTCCTGGGAAAAATCTGATAATCTATCACTCATGTGTCCTTGCTGCCTGATAACTTAAACTGAAACTTGTTTGTATTATAGGGTTATTGCGACTATTTTTTCTGAATCTGAATTACTCTTGTCTTCTTTTCTACTTACAATTTGAGCTGTCTGCAAGCAGGTAGACAGGTACTTAGATGAAGGCAGTAAAACCCTCAAAAGCATCCTTGAAGGATAGTCATAAGAACCTGAGGAAGTTATCTGACTGCAAAGAGGGAGCTGGAAAGACCACTATTCTCTCTCCCATCCCTTGTTCTCTTTAGGAGACTGCCTGTGCTGGTAACGCCAGTCCCCTAGTACTGAGGAGGCTAGTACCTGTCTCCCCCAACTTAGTTTGCTCCTGTGATGGTTAATTTTAGATGTCGACAAAATGCCTGAATAACTGGTGAAATATCATTTTTGGGTGTTTATGAGAATGTTGTCAGACAAGAGTGGTATGAGTATGTGGGCTAAGGAAAACTCATCTTCAAGAGGCAAGTACCATCCAACTGGCTGGGAGAGGAGGGACAAACCGAGAAGTGGGGGGTGTCTCCTCCCTCCAGGCCCCCCTTCAGGAGCCTGCTATGTTCCACTCTTGTGCGTCTGCCTGCTCTCTTGTGCTGTTTGTCCTGTGGGCTCTTGGCACCCACACCCTTCTAGTCAAGACTCCAAGTTCTTTCACCTTTAGACTCTGGACTATTACGTGGCCTCCCAAGGGCCCTCTCTGAGCTCAGACTAAAACTACACCAGCCTCCCTGCTTCTGAGTCTTTCTGGCTAATTTTCCAGCTTGTAGACATCTTATAGTTGAGACCTCTTGTGCCTTGTGGTAACCTAATTTCTGTAATAAATCCCTTCTTTAAAAAAAGGTGTATACACACACACACACACACACACACACACATATATATATATGGGGGCCAACAGGTGACACAGTGGTTGGGGCACTGGACTCCAAAGCTAACCGTGGTTCAAATCCCAGACTTCATAACTTGCTTTCTCACTTCCCTCTCTCTCCATCTCTCTGGTGAGCATGTATGCCCTGTAGCAAATTAAAAAATAGTAGTAATGATCAACAAAATTAAGTAATTCTAAAAAAAAGTATGTCTATATATATGTATGTGTGTGTGTACATGTGTGTGTATGTATGTATATATGTATAACCACTACAGCTCTATCATCTAGAACATGATCTAACTGACCACCAGCATGTCTCTGAAGTTCTTCCTTCCATGCAGCGTTGTCTCTTTTCTGTCTAATCATTACTATAAGCTCTTCTTCCTTCTCCCAAGATTTAACTCCACCCCTACCAGTGTTACTTCCCCTCTTCTCAAGCCCTATAGTTCTGGTTTTTCAGGCATGTTTAGTTTTAGTTCAGTTTATGAGACATGTTGATTACCTACCATGTGCAAGTAATTGTGAGAGACACTAATGAACTAGTTTGTCTAAAAACTTTCTGACATCTGGGAATAGATACAAGGCTTATTTCTACCTCTAGTTTTACAGTCTCTGATAAAAGTGCTATTGGAATAGAGCTATACTCACTGTTAATACCCACTGTGGCAATTAGAAACAAATCCTTACATTTAGTAAGTATTCAAATAACTTTGTTAATCAATCAATGTATAAGTACCTAATAAAAGCCAAAAATTACTTCCATTTCTTACATGAAAATAATATGAAGAAAGATTAGAGATAAAGCAAGCAAATGAGGGACTGGCAGGTGGCATGGTGGTTAAGGTGCTGGACTCTCACATGATCAACTGTGGTTCGAGTCCTGGACCTGGCAGCTTGCTTTCTCACATTCTCTTTCTCTCTCCGTCTCTCACTGATCAAAGTAAAAAATAATAATAACAAATAAAATTCAATAAATAAATTATACTTTAAAAAATGAACATTCTAGTTTATTCCTTTTATAAAAAAATTATTTCTTTTATGAAATAGTGCATGTGTGTGCACCCATGTGCAAGAGAGAGAGAGAGAAAGAGAGAGGGAGAGAGACAGGTACCCTTGACAGAGTCTTATGTTAGAATCCCTTTTTCACAAACCTCCAAATAGAATCATGGGTACACACATGCACACCTGGTGTGTTTCAGATCAACCTGGATTTGAACCTGCAGTCAGCCATGTGGCTTCTAGCAGGACAGATCAGTATGCTATCACCTGTACCACCAGGGATAAGCTCGTGGTTTTAATTAAACCTAAAGCCACGATACATGTCCATGATAATCAGAACAGGAAATGAACAAATAGATGTAATTTCTGTTCCTTCTACATGGTGGTATTGTGTTGAGTATAGATAGAAAACAGCAGTCCAGAACACTTATTAAAAATTCATTGATAAATTCGTTAGTAAATGTAGTAATTTTGGGCATGTATTTTGCTGTTTTATATATAGAGAGACAGTAAAAAGTTGAACTCTCCCATCTCTTTTTCTCATTTATAATATATTCATAAATAAAAAAGGTGACTCCTACAAGAGGGAAGTATTTATCAGAAATATGCTCCAATGCAGTTATGTGACACATAGAAAATCATTTTTCCCTCCCAAACCTGAGACTCCTCATCTAAAACTCAGGAGGTTAAATGAGACAATCTCTAAGTTTCCACAATTCATGCACATTAATTTATACATCATAGCGCAGGTAGATAGTAGGGTTATACTTTCTTACCCCATGATGCTAGGCTTGGCCAAGACTTGCTTAAAGGAAAAGTAAGTGATACATGTATCTTCTCATACCCAACTGAAATGTCTCCTCCCTTCTATTAAAATGGCAATGTCCCAAAAAAGGGGTCATTCTTTCAGCCCAAATGCTTGAGTGGATGAGATTGAGCAGAGCCAAAGCCAATCTACGCCTGACATTAATCAAATGGGACATACACCTTTGTTGTTGCTCCTAAAGCATAATCTAATAAAATCTAATTAAATACAAGACTTTGCTAAAAATAGAGTATCAGCTCATAGTTTAAAACACAAAAACTAATAGAATTTAATTTAATAAAAAAAGATCATATGGGAACCAGCAGTTAGCGTAATGGCTATGTCGCTGGACTCCCACGTAGTCGACCGCGGTTCGTGTTCCGGACCCGGTGGCTTAAAACTCACGCTGGGCGCGTGTGCGTACGTGCCCAAGATCCCGGGAGGAGAATGGAGGAGAAGGGATTGCGGCATGACCATCCTCCCGGGGGGTGATTTCTCGCTTTGTCTCTATGTCTCTCTCTGTCTGTCTGGCGAGCGCACGCGCCCTATAGTGAAAAAAAAATACAAAAAAGATAATATATAGTATGACATAATGAAAATGAACATAATAAAAATAAACAGACAATTTTCAAAAATATTTTTAAAAATAGTAGTTGGAGTAAAGTAACTTTACTTAAATATATACATAGAATTTTCCCTGTGACTTCTGGCTTGAATCCTACAATAACTATTCCAAATAAGAATCAACATTTTTTAGAAATTTTTCTTCATCTTCAAGATATTCCAAGACAATATTTCCACCATTATATAAAGGACAATCCTCCTTAGCAATCCAGGTTTCCAAAGTGTGATCCAAGGGCAAGGCTTCTCCTGACGTGACGTGACATAACCGCAGTTTCTGTTAAGAGAGAAATACATCACACTGCAATAAGGAAACTTGCTTGCATACAGTATCCTAAAACGTCTGGGGAACAATGATTATAATTAAATATTACCTTGGCTGTTAATCTGTTATTGTCATTTTTGAGACTGGCTAGAGAAGCTGCACAGTCTATGACCTTTCCAATGCTCCAATGGTGGCAAAAAAACATTGGTTTGCTCTTTTCTTTGCTACCCTTAGGTAAGAAAACTTGAAAGTAAACTCTTTCTGTCTGTAAAAAAAGAGTTAAAACATAGATTATACATAGGAAATAAGACACCTGTTTTTGTCTGGTGACATTCCTTCCTCTCCTTTTGATCAGAGAAGTATTAGCCTGTAATGATGCAACTTTTAGGGTGAATACCAATCGCGGTGGTCCCATATCCACCCAACCAAGGGCACATGACCAAGGTCCTGGCCAGAGTGATCGGTCCTAAGATAGGCATGTGGCCTAAGTGAGGCCAGTCAGGGTCTCTTTCTGGGATTTTATGTTCAAAAACTAGAGGGAAGAGGAATTCTCTCTTCTTTTTTTTTTTGGAGAGGTTTTCACTATAAGGCGCGTGCGCTTGCCAGACAGACAGAGAGAGACATAGAGACAGAAAGCGAGAAATCACCCCCCGGGGGGATGGTCACGCTGCAATCCCTTCTCCTCCATTCTCCTCTCGGGATCTTGGGCACGCACGCACATGTGCCCGGTGTGAGTTTTAAGCCACCAGGTCTGGGATGCAAACCGCAGTCGACTACGTGGGAGTCCAGCGACATAGCCATTACGCTAACTGCTGGTTCCCTCTCTTCTTGAGTTTTAAGTCTTACTGATCAAATCTGGAATGGTTTGCAGCTATCCCTCAGAGCTCGGTGATTCCTGCACCAGCATGAAAAATGTCACCTCAAAAAGTGACGTTTTTGACTTGTCACACAGGGAGACAAGTCAAGAAAATACATGGACTCTTTCAACATAATTTGAGTCTCTGAATTTGGTCATCCCTTAAGAACAGATCAATTTATTATTCCTCATTAGATGAGGAAAAAAATTCACTTTAATTGTGCTAATTAAAATCAAGTTTCTGTCACTTGCAATTAAAAGATCCTTTATATATATAGCATTTATTGCTGTATAAAAGACTCATTACCTGTTTATAGACAACAGAACTTTTCAGAAGAAACTTAAAAATAACAACAACAGCAAAACCCCCCAAAAACAAAAAACCCAAACCTAGACAAGTCCCTTATCAATACAAGAGGAATTTTGACACGGTCTTTCTAGTATTCTTTACCCTATCTGCCTCCTTTTTCTGTATGTTCTCGTTTCATTAAAAAATGGGGGATAGAAAGTACAGGAGCAAAGGTACTTGGCTTTTGATCTTTCCTAATTTCTACACACTGCTTTTAAAAAGTGCTCTCTTTATAGATCAGTTCCTACAACAACAAAACTTTTGGCAAAACTAGAGCATTCTGAGTTGTGAGAGAAACATAGAAAATTATTTGAAGAAATAATAGATTCAACACAATTCCCATCACAACACTAAGGAATAGATTTGTTGAAGACCAGTGGAGTGTGTTATTACAGATAACAACCATTAAAAGAAAAAACAAGAAATCACTTAAAATACAAGCCTTGGGCTGACACTATAACCAAATGGTCCCTGTTCCCAAAATAAAGTAGCAAGAACATAGATATGAAGACATAGGCAAATGATAGATAGATGGATGGAAAATTATAAAAACATATAGTCACATCTAAAAAACTGAATGTGAATAAAAGCTGAATAGAGTGAACAAAAATTCACTAGAAATGCAAAGTGATAGGCAAGATGAGCTATGAGTTTTAATTTAAAAGCTGCAGAAGGAAAGGTAGTCAGGAATTTGGCTTGTAAGCAAATGGGAAATAACAGCTCCTTACGGAGATAAAGATAAAAGCCCCTGGATTAGGTTCGTTACTTGGAACCAGACACTAGGTTGAGATTTGTACTCCAGCTATGGAGGTTGAAGAAGTTACCACTGATTGCTGACTCAGGCTATTGTTCATATGAACCGACAAGTAAGGAGGCAAAAAAGCACAGATATGACCTCCCCACAGCAAACAAAGTCAAAGGCTCAGTAAAGGTACCTGTACTTATTTGAAAATCACATTTGGGTAGAGCACAAATTGCCAATCTCACATTGGGATTTGGAATGGAAGTGCAGGCTGGGTGGGCCGGGGGAAGAAAATGCAAAATGAACAGATAGGCATTGGTGAGTGAGGGGAAGGAGAGAACTACGGAAACCTACTCAGAACATACATATAGAGTGGATAAATTGAATTTTCAAAATAAATCAGAAGTTAACATTATGGGTAAATGAAAAGAACTGAATTTTAAACAAATGTTAAGATATTTAGGATAAATATCACAATATCAAGGAATATTCATCGAAATCAAAACAGGTGGAAATCACCTCCTTGGGAGTTGGCCGTGCTGCAATCCCTTCTGCTCCAGTCTCCTCTCAGAATTCTGGGTAAGCACACACACCTGCCTAGCATGAGTTTTAAGCTGCCAGGTTCGGGACTCAAACTGTGGTTGACCATGTGGGAGTCCAAAGACATAACCATTATGCCATCTGCTGGTCCCAAGGAGAAACAGCTTTATCTGTAAGCCTGAAGAGTGTTCTATTACTAAGTCACAGTACCTAGTTTCAGATCCCAGCTCTTTGCTTACTAGCTACACTACTAGTAAGTTAATTAAACTTTTTTGTGCCACCATTTTCTTCTCTCTATTATAAAATAAGAGAGCTAACAGAAAATTTCTCATAAACTTGTTGCAAGGATAAACCATGTCAGAAAAATGCCTGGAAAAAGTTAAGTGATACAAAAGTTTTTATTATTGTTTCAAGTAATGAAAGGAAAGTGCTACAGAAGTTTTTATATTGTTTTAAATAATGTGAATACCATTACTGGATAATTTAGAGCAGGTCTTTTCAACTTTGTCACAGTTGATATTTTAGAACAAAGTAATTTCCTGCTGTGGACACTGTCACATGCATTATAAGATATTTAGTAGCATTCCTAGCCTCTACTCACTAGATACCAGTAGCTCCCTTCCCCATTTGTGAGAACCAAAAATGGCTCTAGACATTGCTAAATGTCCCTTGGGACAAAACTGCCCTTAGTTAAGAACCACTACTTACGGGGAATGGAAATGGAGGAGGAACTGGGCGGGGGGAGGGGGAGAAGATATTTGATTTTCTGTATATATTAAAAATATGTACCACTTTCGCAATTAAAAAATAAAAAGGGGGCCAGCAGGTGGCATGTTGGTTAAAGTGTTGGACTCCCACATGGTCGACTGTGGTTCAAGTCCTAGACCTGGTGGCTTACTTTTTTACCCGCTCCCACATCTCTCTCTAATGAGCCTATGTGCTCTGTAAATTAAAATAATAATGATAGATAAAATTAAATAAATATCCTCCATTCTCCATTCAATCAGGATTTAGAGTAGGTATGCACGTGCACCTGGTGTATTCTTCAAGGGCCAAGATTTGAACTACGGTCAGCCATGTAAGATCCAGCTCCCTTAAGCTGAGCAGGTATGCACGTGCACCTGGTGTATTCTCCAAGCTGTCAGGGCCAAGATTTGAACTACAGTCAGCCATGTAAGATCCAGCTCCCTTAAGCAGTAGGCTATACAACTAGGCCCATTTGCAGTTTTAAACATAAAATAAATAAAATTTCACAAATGAAAAATATTAAGGATAATCACTAAAAGAAGAAAATAATGGTTTCTAAACCAGGAGAATAAAGGGAAATACTGAAAATTCAATCAGTAAAAAGGATGGCAAGACAGACAAAGAATCAAAATAAAGGATGATGAACAGAAAACAAAGATAGAGGCAACACATTCACATGTATCAATGGTCACAATAAATATAAATGGATTTAACTCACCCATGAGAGATATTATCAAACTGGATTTAAAAAAACAAAGTCCAACTATATGCTGCTTACAAGAGACGCCTTAAAACAAAGAAACATAGGAAAGTTGAATATGAAGAGATGAAAACAAAATATAATAGTTAAATATTCACCAAAAGAAAGGCAGTAAAACAATATTAAAATTCAAAATAGGACTGAAGACAAAATTCATAAAGATGTAATGAAGAAATTCCATGTAATTTCTTGAATTTCATGCAATTCCAATACACAAGTCAGCAAAACCATTAGAATTCCAAGAAAAAAAAAATAAAACTCCACTCAAAGATTTTAACACGTCTGTCTTAGTAACTGATAGATGAAATAGACCAAAAATTAGCAAGGACACATATGCACACACACATACACACACACACACAAACTGACTTAAGAAATAAGATAATAGGACTCAAAATTCTCTCCTCAAAAAAGGCAATAAATACAAAGGTTATAACAACTCATTGTTACTAAACCTTCAAGAGAAAGTAATCCTCTGTACCTATCTCAAGAAGACGGGAGTTGGATGGTAGCATGGTGGTAGGTGTAGCTGGATTCCACATGGCTGACTAGTCCACTGTGAGTTCCAGACCTGCTAGCTTGGAAAACATGTGAGGCCTGTGTGCATACCTACACAAAACCTCAAGAGCAGAATGAAGGAGAAGGTACTGTGGCATGTCCAAATCCCCTAGGGAATAAGTTCTCACTTCTTCCCTCTTTTTCTTTATCATTCTCTCTGTCTCTCTTCAGTGAGTGCATGCACACCATAGAAAACTAAAGATAAATAAATAAATAATAAGGAGGGACAGTGGTCCAACTAGTTTTATGAATAAGTATAATCTTGCTACTAATGTCACTGAATAACACTAAATATGTTAATGAATCAATCTAGCAATGCATTTTAAAAGAAATACATACTAGAGTCAAGTAAATAATTCTGGAATATGTGAATGACTTAACAGAAAAGTCTATCAATGTGATTAATCCCATTGCTAAAAAAAAAAATGTATCTATGTAGTATATGAAACAAATTACTGTAAAGTTTTAATACTCATTCATGATATATAATAAATTTCCAGAAAACTAGAAATAAAAAGATAAATCATTTACTTGATAAAGCCTTCTAACAAAAAGGCTTTTGTTAGACAAACAGCATATAACAAAAATAATACTTGACAAAACTTTAGTAGTTTTGTACTAAAGTCCAAAAACATGCTGATGACTCCTGTTGCTACCCATATTTCTCAGCATTGTGTTATAGATCTCAGCACTAAGACCAAAAAGAAAAAAGAAAAAATGTAAAGGAGGGTAGGAGGAAAAAATTTTGGAGGAAAAAAATTCATACAAAGCTTTTGCAGAAGACTGCGTAAGACTACATAGAAAACATCCTAGAAAATCTACAAAGTATAGGAATTGCTAATAAGTTATTCACTAGGTAGAAGGCCAATATAAATCAGCAATAGCTAATTAAGAAAATGTAATTTCTAAAAAAATGTTATCCCTGGGCTGGCCCCCTAGCCTAATGGTTAAGGGAGCTGCATCACACATGGCCAAGAGTGGTTCAAATCCAGGGTCTGGGAGCTTGAAAAACATACCAGGCACATGTGCATAAATGCCCAAAATCCAGACAGGATGGAGACTAGAGAAGGGATGGCAACATGACCATACCCGATTGGGGAGTGCTTTGTTCCTCCCTTATCTATTTCCCTTTCTCTCTCTGGTGAGAGCATATACCCTCTGGAAATTAAAAATTAAAAAAAAAAAAATTAGAAAGTAACATTTACAATGACAGCAAAAATTATAAAAAGCCTAAAAATAACCTTAAGAAAAGATATGGTAAGCATTATGAATGTTACCTAAACATCTGAAAGACCTAAACAAAAGCTGGCAAAATAAACCACAGATGAGAAGAGTCAAAATTCTAAAAACATCAACTGCCTCTAGCTTAAAATTCAGCACAATTCCTATCAAAATTACAATTTCAAAGAATGGGTCAAAGGGATCCTAAAATTTTTATGAAAGAATAAATAGAAAAAATAGACATGGTAGAAGGCTCTATTAGAACAAGATAAAGCAATATAACCCTGACAATAGAAAGCTGACAATATCTAGTAAAGTTGAAGATGTACAAGACACAAAATATAACTTTTCTATTTCTAGGTTTAGCTTATGGAAAAGTATTTTTCAATCTGATGAACTCAATTCATCAAGGGTTAGAAAATCAACCTGGTAGATGTTCATTAATAATATATAAAATAGGGCCAGCAGGTGGTATGGTGGTTAAGGGCGCTGGACTCCCACATGGCCGACCAGGGTTTGAGTCCCAGACCTGGAGGCTTGCTTTCTCCCTCTCTCTCTCTCTTTCTGTCCCTCTCTGGTCAAATTAAAACAAATAATAAATAAATAAATAATACTTATTTAAATACATATGTATATATATTTAATATAATATATATGTATATATATTTCATATATATATATATGAAATAAAATAAAACACATAAACAGCACCAGAGTATATAATACATATTAAGTCTAAGTAACACTTAATGAAACTTTGTCAAAGTATGTATGTATGTATATATGAATGGGCCTCCAAGGATACTTCTAAAAGTTCATGAAAACACAGAAATAAAATGAGTTTATTTTGATGCAAAATTTTTTTGGAATCTATACAGGGTTACTTTATAATATGCATTTTCCATGAACTTTTAAAAGACCCTTTATATACACATATATACACATTGGATTGTTACATAAAATAATTAATATTGTGAAAATTTAAAAGGGCTATCTTAGAGAAACTCTCCCATACATATACAAGGGTATTTGCTATAGGAAAATTTATAGTAGTAAAAAATTAGAAAAATTTTAATTTTATTGAATAAATAAACTAGGGTATACTCATATTATAAAATAATGTGCAGCTAATTAAAATGAATGAACTAGACTAAATGCATCACCATGGATGTTAAAAATATGATGGCAGGGGCTGGTCCTGTGGCTTATTGGTTAAAGGAGGGAGAGCCTCATGACTCCACATAGTGCAAATCCTGGCCCCAGTAGCTTGAATATCATGTTGGGTACATGTATGTGCATGCCCCAAATCCCAAAAAGGTGAAGAAATGGAACAGAAGAAACTCTGGTGTGACCTTGCCCCACTGAGGGGGCCTTTTCTTCCTCTTCTCCTCTGTCTTTCTCTGGAGAGTACAGATGCCCTCTGACAAATAAAATATATACACGTATATGTGTGTGTGTGTGTGTGTGTCTAGGATACAAAGTGAGGGAAGAAAAAATTGAAAAAGGATATAATATTTCACTGCCATTTCTGTAAAGTAAAAAAGCTTACATAGCTCTTACTATGTAAAGATTACATAGACATATTGCATATTATATTAGGAATGATACTTATCAAGTTCAGGTTACTTGCTACTTGGTGATGGGGAAGAATAAAATGTGAACTTCAACTTATATTTATGTTTTTGTCTTTCCAAGTCTCTAAGACCAACCTGTGGCAATGTCTTATCCCCATTAGCATGCATCTTTAATTTCATCAGTGCAACTTTTGCAGCTGTTTCACTATTTTTTGCACCTTTCCGTCGTTTATTTGCTGTCTCTCCCATCTTGGAATCTAAGAAATAAGTATGAACACGTAAGCACATAAGTACTGGTATATACATTTCCCTAAATATTTTTATAAAGCATTTATCATGGCCCCAAAACATACACGAATTATACACAATAGAGATATATACAGACCAAGATACTTACCAATAATGTCTTTAACAAGTTTCTGAGTGGCAGCCATACGAGGCTTTGGGATTTCCAGTTTTTCACAATCATGATCTGACTGATGACGGTGTCTATGAGCAACAGAGAAGTGACTCTACCTTACATATTTGTATGTGACTTAAACAGATATATGAAGTTTGAATGTTGTAAATTATCACCTCAGGCAAAAATTCTTCTTACAAAAAGGACATACAACTTCCACAAGCTCTCTTTCAGCACAGCCCTTGAATGAGCATGGGTAAGACTGATGTTGATCTGTCTTGAGTTTCTCATTTATTACATTCACCTGAAAATGTAAAAAGAGGAAAAAGGTGTTATATTTCACATCTAAAGTCAATCAACAAATCTATTTTGGAAGGCCACACTCATATCATTTTTACTTAAATTAATAAAAGCAAGTTATACACTCTCACATAAAAATTATAATGAATGTGGGACCAGCAGTTGGCATAATGGCTATGTTGCTGGACTCTTGCATAGTGGACCTCGGTTTGAGTCCTGGACCCAGTGGCTTAAACTCATACCAGGCGCATGTGCATGAGTACCTAAGATCCTGAGAGGAGAATGGAGGAGAAAAGATTGCAGTGTGGTCATCTCCCCTGGGGAGGGGGTGATTTCTTGCTTTCTGTCTTTCTGGAGAGAGCACATGACCTATAGCAAAAACTTCTCAAAAGAAATTATAATGAATGGCTTACATGAGAAATGAATATTATGCTGACTGTTCTAAATTTTCATAATTTTCCTACTGTGGTATGCTTATCTTCTAAGTCAAATTAAAACAACTACTTAATTGCTCTCTCAATTTTAATCTTCTGCTTTGTAATAGTCCCACACAGAGATGTCCCCATAAAAACATGCTCAGATAATCATCTCATTAATCCTCAAACAGTAAGTCATATCTATTTTCTACACCCATTTTAGGGGATTAAATATTTAGTTTAGGGGTCAACAGCCAGAGCAGTGGTTACACTGCTGGACTCCCACATGGCCGAGTATGGATCAAGTTCCAGACCTGGCACCTTGAAAATCACATCAGGCACATGTGCGTGCCTGTGCAAGATCCCAGAAGAATGAAGGAGAAGGGACTGCATTGTGGCCATCTCCTCTGGAGGGTGATTTCTCACTTTGCCTCTTACTATCTCTGTCTCTGTCTCTCTTTCTAGAGCAAGCACATGTACCCTATGACAAAAACCTCTAAAAAAAAAGTAAACACTTAGAGAACAGAACATTTAAAATGTATATATTTGTGAGACAAAGGGATAAAGACAGTTTTAATAATCATATACCATTAGGTCATCAAAAAAGTCAAGATGTATTTTTCTATGCAAAAATGCATCATTTTTCCAATGACCCAATATTTTTATGCCTTGTTTTGTATTTTATTACCAGAAAATACTATTTACATCAGAGAAATACAAGATTCTGTAAGATTAAAAACCATTTTTATTTCAGACAAGTTATTCTGAGTTAAGTATCTAGGTTTCTAGAGTTTAGGTAAAATAAGTGCTTAAAAAAATTAAGGAGAAAAATAGAGAGGCAAGACATTTATGGGATACAGAATTGGATCAATGCCTGTTGATAATGTATAGGTAGTTACTCAACTGGACTGGTGTGAGGTGTATTCATGTTGGGTAAGTTCACTTTTCAAGGTAAGTGATGTATAGTGATTGAATGTGTAAAAAAATACAATTAAAGAAAATTCCTTTGTATAAGTGATAATTATATCTTGTTAAAATCAATTTAAGTATCCTTCCACATCTGTTGCAATGGCCTAATAGTAAAATAATTTTATTTTAGTATTTAATTAATGAAACCTAATAATTTGAAAGACATTCAAAGAAGTCTAATAATATTTTAAAAAAGATTTATAAGCTATATAAGAACCATCAGTAAGTTTTACTATATGACTCTAAATGAGTATTTCCTTCCAACTAATCCTACATAATATCAACATTTTTATTTTCACCAGATAAATCACCCAAACTTCAAAGGGTTAGATTTTGACTAAAGCTCATGTAACCTTAGTTTTCTATAATTCAGAGAACAGATGTGGAAATCTTCATTAAAGTGCTTGGTAAACAGGGGGCAGGAAAAAATGTCAACTGAAAAGTGTTAGAGGCAAATGTATCTTTCCCACTAGTGTGAATTCAGTTTAAACTCCATACCAAGAGAAGCGGAGCAATCTAATTGTAAAATGTAAGATACTACGCATGGTGGGCTCAGCTTTTCCCTTTCCTCTTGGAATTAAACTGCCTTTGGGGAGGATGATTAAGTCAGAACAATTTCCTACCACAGCATCTTTACACTAGTCATGGATGAAAATGAACAACAGTGAAGGAAGCAAGTCTGTCTAATTCTGGATTTCCTTTGTAGACCCATTTGGTTCTACTCTAAACTTTATCATCATTCAATTTGTTTTTTGTCAGTAACAAGGGCAATATTTTGACTTTTGCCTGCCAGCCCTTTCTCAATCTATCAGGTCGGAATGAGGGTAGGAATTTTGTTGGACTATAGATTTGTTCCTGGTGGTCTAAGGGTAATGAGGCCAGAGCAATTTCCTACCATAGAATTCTATCACCAGGCAGCAGTGAAAACAAATATAACCGTACAGTGAAATAAGCAGTAAGGTGGAGGGACTATATGAGGGGAAATTAATTCCATTGCATGTTAAAAATATATAGCCTCCTGGGAACCAGCAGTTAGCATAATGGCTATGTCACTGGACTCTCACGTAGTCGACCGTGGTTCGAGTCCCGAACCCGGTGGCTTAAACTCACGCCAGGCGCGTGTGTGTGCGTGCCCAAGATCCTGAGAGGAGCATGGAGGAGAAGGGATTGCGGCGTGGCCATCCCCCCTGGGGGATGATTTCTCACTTTCTGTCTCTATGTCTCTGTCTGTCTGTCCGGCGAGCGCACGCGCCCTATAGCGAAAACCTCTCAAAAAAAAAAAAAATATATATGTATATACAGCCTCCTGTTATAAGTGGGCAAAAAAAAAAAAAAAAACAGAAATATTAAGGAATAAAAAATTATATGGTTAAAAATTTATAAATACTGGGACCAGCAGTTAGCATAATGGCTATGTCACTGGACTCTCACGTAGTCGACCGTGGTTCGAGTCCCGAACCCGGTGGCTTAAACTCACGCCAGGCGCGTGTGCGTGCATGCCCAAGATCCCGAGAGGAGAATGGAGAAGGGATTGTGGCATGGCCATCCCCCCTGGGGGGTGATTTCCTGCTTTCTGTGTCTCTGTCTCTGTCTGGCGAGAGCATGAGCCCTATAGCAAAAACCTCTCCAAAAAAAAAAAATTTATAAATACTAAGTACACCAATTTTTCTTTAAAACAGAGAAACACAATATAAATGAAGCAAAAGTCTCTTTACTAAATCCATTTGGTCAACCTTTAATACCCGGTGTATTAACTAGCTTTAATCTAATCAAATTCTGAATGGAGGCACATGAATACAAATATATTTTTTCAGATCAGAGAAATATTAACATACCTCAGGACAACCATGAGACTCCTTGCTTCTATGTTCAAGGCTTAAATAATGAAAAAAAATTGTATTTATTTAAATGCAATCACATAACATACTTAAAGACAACTGCTGAAATTCAAAACATTTTAGTGTTTAGTGTCCTTAAGAAAAATTACACTCACACTTCATTAATGACTTTGAATATAAGAATAAACAGAAATACCAGTTAAATTAAAAATGGAACAGTTATAGTCTCAAAAGTTTTAAAATACAAATGTTCAACTTCAATATGAATAAAAACAATTCACCACTCTAAATTGCCTTTTAGTGCTTTAAGGTATAAGAGCATACACACAAATGTTTCTATTCCTTTTATTTCTTGGAATAAGTAGAGTCTATGGTATATTTCATTTTTCCCAAGTGATTACTGTATTGAATATCAAGTATCAATAAGTAAGTAATGATTATAAATCATTCTAAATCTCAGAAATAAACCCCATATAACAAACACTAAAATTACTCTCAAATCCTGCATAAAAACTTAACTTACCAAAATACTCCTGAACATCCATCACATACAAATGGAATAAAATCTAAAATTGAGGGAAAACATATGTACTGGTAAGGATCTGATTTTGATTTAGCTTTTTATTGTAAAAAGAATCATCAAGTACGGGACCACCTCTAGAAGAAAACTTCCCTTTCTGACTAATACTCTAGTATAGTAAGTCTCTACATAACCACTGCTAACCAGGTCATCACACCCTCAGTAACTCTGAAACAAGGGAACTGAATTCACAGGAGATAGATGTTACTGTAGTAGCTTTGCTAGATCAATGAGCTGGTTTGCTCTTCTTGTTACCCAGATTAACTAGGTGCTGATTTTGAGGACTATATACTGCAAAAGTTCTGCACAGGGAGTGAAAAATCTGGGTTTTAATTGATTCTAGTGCTTACTAATTTTCAATACTGCATGTTTTCTGATAATGAAGCTTTGGTACATACACTTGATATTGTATGTAGTATACAGTGTATGTGCTTCTCTGTCTCTCACAGTTTTAGTATGGAGTAATATTAATAAACATAGGTAGATACAGAGATAAATATATATATATATAAAAGGATATAAGCATATAGTGTCTGTGTTTAATGTGTATATGTATGTATGCATGTGTGTATATATCTATATCTGTATCTATGTTATATGTCACAGCAACCTCACGGGGTAATTGTCAAAACAACTGAAATATATATAAAAGATTAGAGCAATAATATAGTTAACTGTAATCAACAAGAACAATTATAACAATCAACATTATTTTTAATTGCCAGAGGGCATGGGCATGGGTGCTCCCAGCAAGGGACAGAGAGAAAGAAAAGGGAGGGAAGAAGGGACAAAAGGAAAAAAGCACCCCCGCAGAGAAGTCATGTTGCAATCCCTAGCTCCTATTTCTCCATCCTATCAGGATTTGGGGAATACATGCACACACACAGCAGTATATTTTTCAAACTGCCAAGGTCAGCATTCAAACCATGGTCAGTGACTTGGGATCCAGCTAGGATACACTAGGCCACAGCCTAGCACAACAAGTCATTTCTTTTGAGTGCTCTACTCAGAATACTGCAATAACTGGGTAGAGGTGCTTTCAAAGAGAAAGTCCAGTAATTCAGTAAGTACACAGATTGAGACTTCAAAATTAATTGCTGAGTGGTTTCTCTCCCCTGCTGCTGAGGAAAAACCAAGTTAGGACCAACTAACAAATGAATTAGGAACTGAACTTGTGGAAAAAACATACAAGTATCCATTTGCAGATATGGCAACTAAGAGTTAATCATAGAAACAATCAGTAACTATGAATTATTTTCAAGGCTAGCAGTGAGGGCACAGTGATAACACAGTATTCCCTAGCTGAGGCCATAGGGAAAGGTCCTGAGTTCACAATTCAAGCTCTTTTAGTGTAAGCACAATCCAACAAGTGTTGGTTGGGTAAGTTGAAGGTAGAACTGCAACATGAGGACCCTGTTGGGAACATAGCTGTCTGTCTGCCTGTCCTCTTCTGTGTTATGGAAGAAATAAAAATAATCTTTTAAAAAGTACTTTAGGGACCAGCAGATGGTGTAATCATTACATCACTGGACTTCCACATAGTCAACCATGGTTTGAGTCCTGGACCAGGTGGCTTAAAATTCATGCTGAGAGCATGTACATTCGTGCTCAAGATCCAGAGAGGGGAATGGAAGAGAAGGCATTGCAGAGTGGACATTCCCCAGGGAGTGATTTCTCCCTTTCTATCTCTCTAATGAGCCATGTGTCCTATAGCAAAAATCTAAGTACTTTAAATTGCTTTCAATATATCTCCTATTAAAGTACAGTATACACCCAAGTGAGTTTGGATATATCCAATTATACTAGTTTCTCAAAGTGAAAAACAAAAAGTATACAGCTCAGTGCTATGTTAGAGAAAGCTATGATGCACTGAAAAGACCTCATTCTACAGAGTATCTTAACCTGAAGTATAAAGATGTCCTATTGTAACCCAAAGGGACCCCTGCATAATTACATGTATGGAATAAGTTGGCCTAAATAGTTCTTTTCTCACCTGAAGCGGGCTTGACAAACTGTAACTGCTGTTACTAAAGCATGAGAGGGTGAGCTGCTTTTTCATATCAGTAAATTATGAATGTATTTGTCAACAAGAGAAACTGAAGCTGTAATACTCTGCAAAACTTCTAAGTCTTTTTCAATATGGAAACATTGTACATGCCTGTTATTTTGAAGCTTTTGGTAACCAAATATTAAATGAAAACTAGGAGGACCCCAGAATGAAGAGTTAAGATCAAGATAATTCCTGGCACCTGATATCCTTCTATCCAATCAGAAGATAGCTGAAATTTAGCCTACCCACTTACAGACTCTAAAGCTTACACTTTCTCCATTGGTCAAAACAGGTCCTGGCCTTTTTTCAGTTAGTGACACTGAAGGCATACAAGTTAGAAAGGAAGATGCCACAGATGGTAAACAACATGTACTAAATTCAGCTGAGGGATTTAGGTACTCCAAATACACAAAACTTACAATAAAAATTTAAGTAGCTAAAATTTCATAGGAAAGGACTACAAAGAAGTAGGTTCTTCCTGGTTGAGTGAATGGTTGGTGATTACAACCAGTAGTAAAACATACATACATACATACATACATACATGTATGTATATACATATGTATATACGTATATACAGAAAGTGTTATAACACTATTTGGTAGGAACTGTGTCACCCACCCTTTGGTCCTTGCTCACTCTATGTCACTTACCAATTACGGCACTTACATGAATCTGGGTTAACAATCAGTCCTTCTCAAAAAACGGGATTCAGGCACTTACTAGCAATAATGAGGCTGCAGTGAGAGCTGAAACCTACTTGCCACCCTACGTAATGGGTAGCACACATTTACAGTGAAACCCAGTTACCAAAGACTGGACAAATCACCATGCTCTACTGCTTTAAGAACTCGCCTGTTTCATGTGTAGGACATCCTGAAGCCTGTGCCCCACTACCTCTAGCTAAGTGTGTCACAGTCTCTCAGGTCAATGGCAGACACCACTGTTTATTAAATCTAAAATGTTCATTCAAAATGCAGCTTAACTAGTCAGAAAGCTCTTCTGTGTAAAGGCCTGTTTAGTTTATATCCTTCAGTGGTGTACATCCAGCACCCAAATCAATGCCCTGTAAATGTTTGTTCAGACGATGATAATTATAATCAAAGAATGATTGAACTGGGATATATCACCGCTATCCTTTAGTGGAATAGTTTGAGGATCAGGATCTTTTTGAGAACCTGATAAAAGTCAAAGGCTTCGCACAGACGCTCATCTCCTGCGGAGCCCATGAATG